CAATCACAAGCTGGGCTGCGCAACACCCTGGTCGCCTCTACGTGAACGAGATCCTGAAGGTAGAGTCCTTACGACAGCCGAAAGCATTGTGCATGCTGCAGCGACCGGCGAACAGCCTCTCGCTCCGCCGTGAAGCTGCCTCCGGTGAGTGCACAGCGCACAAGATAATGCCATCGCCGCCCCGCGGGACACGACTCACTGACGGCATGTGCCCCCAGCCCGGACACCTGTCTCTCACCCGGGGCGTGACTACAGTCTTACATTACGAGTCACGGGCGGGTCACACTGCAGTGTAATCATGGCCCCTCCCATGAGCACCCAAACGCCCAAGAGCACAACAAACATAAACTCGCGCAATTTCCACAGCCGCAGTTTCTTTCTGATACCACAGTCAGTAACTTTGTGAGTGTATAAAGATTTAAGTCGTTTTTGTTATGAACAAAACCACAAAAATAAATAAATAAATAAAAATAAATGGATTTTCTTTGTCCCCGAACAGTAGAGGACTTAAGAGGGCCAGGTACATTTTAAAGGTAGAAAATTACTTGCGTAAGCTATTTAAAATAAATGTGAAAGGTGAAATCCTCATACACAGCTGAAGCGTATTTCGCTCTAACCAGGGGCAGTGTTGTCGTTTAGTGGATTTATATTATTGCATACATTAAAAGTTGTAAAATTATTATAAAAAAACATAAAATTGTCATTCCAAAAACGGAGCTTTGTGCGATAACAGTTTTCCCGAACATTTTAGTATTGGTTTTATATTATAATTGCAGTGTGCCAGTGTAGTCGGCTTCATTAACAAATTACTCTTATGTATGAACCGGATCTTTTTTAGTCAAAACCTCAAAGCGCGACCAGTTCACTAACGAATTGTTTTTACATTTGTTCGTGTATCAGATAATTACTGCTTTTCAGCTAACTCAGAAGTCCTTTGAGAAATCTAATCCCGTCTGCGTGCCAGTGTAGTCGGCTTCATTAACAAATTACTCTTATGTATGAACCGGGTCTTTTTTAGTCAAAACCTCAAAGCGCGACCCAGTTCACTAACGAATTGTTTTTACATTTGTTCGTGTATCAGATAATTACTGCTTTTCAGCTAACTCAGAAGTCCTTTGAGAAATCTAATCCCGTCCTGATATGAGATTCATCGCGTAATTGTTGGATGATCCGATTCTCCGACCGCTCGCTCCACTTTCATCATGAATAAGCCGTAACAATAACGTGAAATCAACAAGAAGATGCTGATCACGGAAACTAATAGCAGAGTTAGGTAAGAATCTAGTCGTAGCCTATTGCAGTTTTCTCGATCGTTAATATAACTGATTTTAGTTGGCACTTTCCCCCCAAACCATTAATTCAGTTTTCAAAACAAAGACATTTCTCAAAAAGTTTAAAAATGAGCAAGTTAAACATTAGGTAGTAAAACTGATGACACACCAATCAGAATCTCTGCATGCTAACAACGGAGAACTGCATTTTTGCAGAACTGAGAAATGACTGCCTAGAGATAGATATAGTCTTCAGGAGACCAAATAACTGCTATAGTGCTGTATACTGTAATACAATTTGGCCAAATGTGCAGAGGATGCTAAATTTACTCTTTTTTTTATTTTATTTTTAATTGTACTGTATTGT